TTAAAATTTAAAAATTATTTTATTAAATATTAATATATTAAAATATATAATAAAATTTTAAATTTAAATATTAAATTAAGTAAAATAAAAATTTTAAATTTTAAATATAAATTAAAATCCTAATTATTTTTAACCATCAAAATTGGTACAAACAACTTATATACATAGAGCACTTTAAAGAGGTTTGTAGTGGACACTAAAGATAGATTCTTCAACACTTTTTACTTGAGATAGGCCCGGTAGGGATAGGGCCATCAACTCTTTTGGATTATTCAAACATATTAAGTTCTACAGACACAAAGTAAAAGAAAAGTAGGGCCATCAACTCTTTTGGATTATTCAAACATACTAAATTCTACGGACACCAACTTCACGGCAGTACTTCGTAGTCAAAATAAGGCCATGAAGGATTTGTTTGAACAATTTAATAATTTAAAAAATCATTTAGTGGCAACACGGAACACAATATATAGAGTACCATAACTGCGTACCCACTTCCCATGTGGGATTCTATCAACATATTTTGTAGCAGAGTTGGAGACAGTGCTGGATCTGGGTCTTCACTGTTCGCATTCAGAACTTAAAGATCCAAAACTGAAGCAACTATATTAGGAGCTAATATACGATCAGCTCCAAAGGAAACTGCACTATGAAATCTGCAATTGCTGCTCTCAATCTAATGTTTGAAATCCGCAAAGAAAGAGAGAAGACGGACGGTGAGTTTGCTGCTTTCATTCTCAGGGACTAACAACCGTTTTAGAGGCAGTTATCAAAATATTTCTAGGACTCCCATCGCAGTTCTCTGTCTAGATTCTTCCAAAATTGCCCACCACTAGCTCTAATTTCTAAAAGGCGAAAGAATCGAAGGAAACTTTGATGGGTTCTTGGAAATATTTGATTATTTCTTTTCTTTTAATGAGGCCAAACAAGTTTCTGTTGAAAGACAATGATTTGTTTTTGACTTGGAGATATAAGAATTAGAGGAAATCAGTGTGAGAATTTGTGGACTATGATGGAGGAGCTTGGAGAAGAGGGAAATTGGG